AGGTTCAGATCTATTAAAGAAATTGAATTTTTTATTTTTTATTTTTATTTATTATTTTTGAGACAGAGTCTTGCTCTGTTGCCCAGGCTGGAGTGCAGTGGCATGATCTTGGCTCACTGCAACCTCTGCCTCCTGGGTTCAAGCAATTCTCATGCCTCAGCCTCCCAAGTGGCTGGGATTACAGGTGCATGCCACCATGCATGGCTAATTTTTGTATTTTTAGTAGAGACAGGGTTTCACCATGTTGGCCAGGCTGGTCTCCAACAACTGAGCTCAAGTGATCTGCTGGCCTCAGCCTCCCGAAGTGCTGGGATTACAGGTGTGAGCCACCATGTCCAGCCAGAAATTGAATCTATAATTAATAACCTTCCAAGACAGAAAGCATCAGGCCCAGATAGTTTTTTGTTGTTGTTGTTTTGCTTTTTAGTGGCTTAAAACAACACAAACTCCCCAGGAGTTCAAGATCAGCCTGGGCAATATAGTGAGACCCTGTCTCTAAAAAACAAAACAAAACAAAATCACAAAATTTTGCTATCTTAACATTGTGGAGGCCAGAAATCCAATATGAGTCTCACTGGGCTAAACACAAGGTGTTTGCGGGACTTTGTTCCTTTTTGGAGGTTCTACAGAAACCATTTCCTTGTCTTTTCCAGCTTCTAGAGGCCACCCGCACTCCTTGGCTCATGGCTGTCTTCCTCTGTGTTCAAAGCCAACAACATAACATCTCTTTGACTCTGCTTCTGTCATCTCCATCTCTTTCTCTTTCTCATTTGTTTCCTTCTTCCTCTTTCATAGAGACCCTTGTGTTTACATTGGGCCCACCAAGATAATCAAGTATAATCTCCCTATTTTAATGTTTAGCCACCTTAATTCTGCTGTAACTTTATTTAATTCACCTTTACATGTAATTTAACATATTCACAGGTTTTGTGGATGAAGATGTGGACATCCTCGAGGGGCCTTTATTCTGCCTACTACACTATCCCAGCCCCTTCACTATGATTTTTAAGTACATTCCAGTATTTGTTAGAGGCCCAGACAGCTTTACTGGTGAATTCCACCAAACATTTAAGAAAGAAATGATATTCTCTATAGTCTCTTCCATAAAAACTGAAGCAAAGGGAACACTTCCTAACTCACATCCTATGAGGCCAGCATACTCTAATACTAAAACCAGATAAAGATATTACAAAAAGTAAAACTCCAGACTAATATATCTCATGAACATAAATGCAAAAATCCCTAACAGAATATTAGCAAATTAAATCCAACAATGTATAAAAATATTTATTCACATAGCCAAGAAGGATTTATTCCAAATATGCAATGCTGGTCCAACATTTAAAAATTAATTAATGTAATCCATAACATTAACAGGTTAAAGAAAAATCATATGATCATATCAATAAATGCAGAAAATGCATTTGACAAAGTCTACTACCAATTTGTGATAAAAATTCTCAGCAAACTAGGAATAGAGGGGATTTTTTAACTTAGCAAAGAAAGTCTACAAAAAGTCTATAACTAATATCACACTTAATGGCAAAAAACTAGGTGTTTTCTCTTTCTTTTAGACTGGGCATGAGGCAAGGATATCCCCTCTCACCACTCTTATTCAACATTATACTCAAAGTCCTAGCTGATGCGATAAGAAAAGAAGGAAAATAAAAGGTATACAGATTGGAAAGGAAGAAATAAAACTGTCTTTGTTCACAGATGATATGATTGTCAATGTAGAAAATCCCAAAGAATAGGCAAAAAATTCCTGGAACTAAGTAATTACAGTAAAGTCACAGGATATAAGGTTAATATACAAAAGTCAATTGCCTTTCTATATACCAGCAATGAACATTTGGACTTTGAAATTAAAAGCACAATATCATTTATATTAGCATGAAAAAATTAAATATTAAGGCATAAATACAATAATATATGTACAGGATCTATATGAGGAAAACGACAAAACTCCAATAAAAGAAATCAAAGAATATCTAAATAAATGGAGAGAGATTCTATTCATAGATCGGAAGACTTAATATTGTTAACATGTTAATTCTCCCTAACTTGACCTATAGATTCACTGTAATCCCAAACAAGCTCCCAGCAAGTTATTTTGTGGTTATCAACAAAATGATTCTATGGTTTACATGCAGCAGCAAAAGACTCAGAATAACACCAAACTAGAGAACAAAGTCAGAGGACCGATGCTACTCAAATGTAAGACTTACTATATGGTAATCGAGGGAGTGTGGTATTGACAAAATAATAGACAAAATGATAATGGAGCAGAATAAAGAGCCCACACATAGACCCTTATAAATATAGTCAACTAATCTTTGACAAAGGAGAAAAGGAGCAAATGTTATTCAATGGAGGAAGAACAGTCTGTTCAGCAAATGGTGCTGGAACAATTGGATATCAATATGCAAAAAAATGAATCTAGACATACAATTTATACTTTTCATAAAAATTAACTCCAAATGGATCTTAGAATTACATATAAAACATAAAACTATATAACTTCTAGAAGATAACAAGAATATCTAGTTACCTTAGGTTTGGCAATGAGTTTTCAGATATGACAACAAAAGCATGACCCATGAAAGAAAAATTATTAAGTTGGACTTTATTAAAATTAAAAACCTTCTCTGTGAAAGGCATTATTGAAGGAGTGAAAAGCTGAAGGAATAAAGAGAAAGAATGTCTTTTGCAAATTTTCACAAAGAACGTGAAAAGATCTTTGCAAAAGTGTATTTAATTAAAAATTTGGGAAAAAAGAAAAAAAAGATGCCACCTCTATCACCTTGTCAGATGTCAGTCAGCTCGAGAGGGTTGATAATGTTGTCTATGTCTTCTACATCCTTTATGGCTTTTGTACCAGCTGCTCTATCAATTATTGAAAGTAAATTATTGAAATATTCAATTATTGTTATCAAGTTATCTATTTTCCTTTTTTTAATTCTTTACATTTTGACTTGAATATTTTGAAGCTCTGTTGTTAGGTGCAGTTACATTATTTCTCCTTGATGTATTTAACCTGTATTCATTATGAAATACCCCTTTCATGCTGAGTAGTATGTGTTTTAACATCGATTTTGCCTGATACCAATATATTCACTTGAGCTATATTATGGTTACTGCTTGTACAGTGTCTATATTTTTTATTTTTACTTTGGGACTATTTGTGTCTTTGAATCTAATGTATGTCTTTTGCAGTTAGTGATGATTGAATTTTTCTTTTTACTCAGTCTGTCTGACAATTTTTGCTTTTTGATTGCATTATTAGAACTATAACATTTAATACAATGATTGATATGGTTGTACTTAAATTTACCATTTTGCTAATTGTTTTCTGTATTTCTCCTGTCTTTCTGTTGTTGTTGTTGTTCTTTCTTTCATCTTTAATTGGTCTCTTTTTTCTTAAATAATATTTTCCAGTGTAGATTTTTAGTGTTTCTGTTTTCGAGTTGTATTATTTCAGTTGTTTTCTTAGTGGTAGCGCCAGTGATTGCAATATGCATATTATCCTATCACAGTCTACTTCAGATTAATACGTAAACTTAATTCTAGTAAAATACAAAACCTTGCCTTCAACATTGCTTCGCTTTCTTTCTTGTCTTTTGTAATTTTATTGTCATATATATTACATGCATATATGTTGCAATCTGTTAATATAGTATTTAATTTATTGTGTTAATAAACTTAATGTCTTTTAAAGTTACTAAGAAAATAAATTGGAAGATTTATTAAAAAGAATTTGTATCCAAAATATACAAAGTCCAGCCTGGGTGATGGAGCAAGACTCTGTCTCAAAAAACAAAAAAATTGTGTATTTTATATATATATATATTCTTAAGAGTTCTTTGCATATATATATATGCAAAGAGTTCCTTGAGTCACTTCAATAGAAATCACTTCAATAAAAAAAACACATATGGCAAATAACCATATGAAAAGATGTTCAACATCAGATGTCATTAGGAAATTGCAAATTAAAACAATAAAATACCACCATACACCTATTAGAATGGTCAAAATAAAAAAAACTGACAATACCAAATGCAGGGAAGGATAAGGATAACAGGAATACTTTTTCATTGCTGGTGGTAATGCAAAATGGTAAGCCACTTTGGGAGACAGTATGGCAGTTTCTCATGAAACTACACAGTCACACTCCAGCAGTCACACTCCTAGGTTATCTACACAATTGGGTTGAAAACTTATGTTCATACAAAAACCTGCACACAGATGTTTATAGCGGCTTTATTCTTAATCACCAAAAACTGGAAGCAACCAAGATTTCCTTTAATGGGCAAATGGATAAACACACTGTGCTATATCCATACAATGAACATTATTCAGCAATAAAAAATGAGCTATCAAGTCACAAAAAGACATGGAGGAAGCTTAAATGCATATTGCTAAGTGAAAGAAGCCAGTCTAAAAAGTCTACATACTGTATAATTCCAATCAGCTACATGACATTTTGGAAAAAGCAAAACTGTAGAGACAGTAAAAAGATCAATGGTTACCAGGGCTCAGGGGAAGGGATAAATAAGTGAAGCAGAGAGGATTTTTAGGGTGGTGAAACTATTCTGTATGAAACTGCAATGGTGCACACATGCCATTATGAATTTGTCAAAACCCACATAAACTTACAACACAAAGAATGAACCTTAATGTGAATTATGGACTATAATTAATAATAAATTAATATTGGTTCATCATTCATAACAAATGTGCCACACTAATGCAAGATCTTAATAATAGGAGAAATTGTGTAAGGAGGAATGAGGGTATGGGGTACGGTGGGTGTATGGAACTCTATGTATTATCTGCTCTATTATTCTATAACCTAAACCTATACTTTAAAAAATATAGTATATTAATTTATCTTAAAAATAAAATCATAGGGACCAAAATAAATAACTTTTTTGGTTCTAATACAAGGATAATATACACGCCTTTATATCATACAAGAGCGATTCCAAACAAATAAATATATGGAGAGTATAAAATTTTATTTTATTATACTTTGATACCCTTCTTGACCTTACTATACTCCTAGGTACAAAGCAACATACTGTTTGTAAACAATAAAACATTTCATTAAAAATCATCCATTAATACTTCAAGTTTCCTTTGTACACTGGAGATATTGGATTAAATGCCTTCTTAGAAATGCCATGTTAACCATTTATTTTAAAGTTTCTCAAATGCATGTTTTCCAGTGGTTTGGTCTTAGCGATTTTACTTGATGGAATTATCTGTGATGCTCTGGGATGTGAAAATCATCTTGTGTCCCTCACTTCCACAAGTAAGTAACAATGCTTCCACCTCTAATCTTCATGTGGCTGATTTTTGTTTGAAGTTTATGGGCAAGATTTAGCTCCGTAGATAAGGACAGAAACGCAGGTCTGACAAGTTACATCAACATCAGGACTAAAAGTCGCAGGACTACAAACCACTGCAGAGGAAAACACAGGGAGTAATTATAATTTAGAGGTATTTTATGCCTCTACCACTTGGAGGCATTTTATGCCAACAATGTAAATCTGCCTTTAATATCACACCATTTCAGTGCCTATATTATACCAAGTAATGTTCAGCTCATTTAAGTTGTGGAAGATTATTTACGAGTTTCAAACTTTATAATTTGATGATCTTAATAGGAGAAAGGGAGAATCCTATTTTTTCTTTTACTATCAGCATTTTACAGTATCTTCTGCAGTGCCCCATTTATGAGTTCGTATTTCTAGTTTTCTAGTTCCTATTTCCTAGTTCTCTGCTTTCTAGGCAGGACAATTCTGTTTTCCTTCATTGTACAGTAGCTTAAGACAGAACATTATAGAAATGTTTATAATACAAGAGAGTACATCAGGAAGAATTAATATACATTAAAATAGCTATATTTAAGAAATTTGGGCTTTGGCTGGGCGCAGTGACTCATGCCTGTAATCCCAGCACTTTGGGAGGCCAAGGCGGGCAGATTGCTTGAGCTCAGGAATTCAAGACCAGTTGGGGCAACAGGGAGAAACTCTGTCTCTACTAAAAATACAAAAATGTTTATGCACACCTGTAATCCTGGCTACTCGGGAAGCTGAGGTTGAAGGATGGCTTGAGCCTGGGAGGCAGAGTTGCCGTAAGCTGAGACTGCGCCACACTGCACTGCAGCGTGGGTGACAGAGCCAGACTCCGTCTCAAAAAAAAAAAAAAAAAAAAAAAAGGGCCAAGCATGGTAGCCCACACCTGTAATCCCAGCACTTTGGGAAGCCAAGGCAGACGGATCATTTGAGGTCAGGAGTTCAATCGAGACCAGCCTGGTCAACATGGTGAAACTCTGTCCCTACTTTTTACAAAAATTAGCCAGCTGTGGTAGCTACTGGGGAGGCTGAGGCAGAAGAATAACTTGAACCCAGGAGACAGAGGTTGTGGTGAGCTGAGATCGCGCCACTGCACTCCAGCCTGGGTGACAGAGTGAGACTCTATCTCAAAAAAATATATATATGTATATATTGGGGCTCTGAATTTTTACTTCCCTTTAGCTAAATATATATATATACACACACATATATATACACACATATATATATACACATATATATATACACACACACATATATATATATATATTTTTTTTTTGGTAAAAGAATCACTGTAAAGATTCTATTCAGTTATGCCAAGTGAATTACTTATATATTCTTCTGACCTTATATATAACCTAAATATTTAGATATTTATATTTTATAGTTACCACAACAGCTAGCGCAATTACTGTGTAGACTTTCATCTTTTCCAAAGCCTGGTCGACAGCTATCCAGACGTACTACTTGCAAACTGTGGTCCACAAAATGCATTGCTGGTAGAGTTTTATTAAAGTTATGGTAGAAAATATATGCTTGGCTCCAAAAAAATTCTTCTATTCGATCTCTTGCCTAAGGTTGAAAAATACCAGAGAAAGGTACAATTACTAAACCATGAACCAAATTTATCCTCCAGTATCACAGGCAATAATGTACTGTAAGCATGCCATACTTTACATAGAGAAATTCCTGAAAAGGTGTGTGCTAACACCAAAATTAGTCTAGCCTTGACCTTATCAATTGTTGTTAATTAATATGTGCAATGGTTAAGAAAAATTGGCTGGGCGCGGTGTCTCATGCCTGTAAACCCAGCACTTTGGGAGACCAAGGCGGGCACATCAAGAGATCAAGAGATCGAGACCATCCTGGCCAACACGGTGAAACCCCGTCTCTATTAAAAATTCAAAAATTAGCTGGGCGTGGTGTTATGTGTCTGTAGTCCCAGCTACTCAGGAGGCTGAGGCAGGAGAATCCCTTGAACCCAGGAGGCAGAGGTTGCAGTGAGCCGAGATCATGCCACTGCACTCCAGCCTGGGTGACAATGCGAGACGCCATCTCAAAAAAAAACCACAAAATAAATAAAAATAAAAATTAAAATTAAGATTAGGCTGGGCGCGGTGGCTTATGCCTGTGATCTCAGCACTTTGGGAGGCAGAGGTGGGCGAATCACTTGAGGCCACGAGTTCGAGACCAGCCTGGCCAACATGGTGAAACCTCGTCTCTACTAAAAAATACAAAACTTAGCCAGGTGTAGTGGCAGGCACCTGTAATCCCAGCTACTCGGGAAGCTGAGGCACAAGAATCACTTGAATCCAGAGGCAGAGGCTGCAGTGAGCCGAGACTGTGCCACTGCACTGCAGCTTGGGTGACAGAATGAGACTCCATCTCAAAAACAAAACAAAACAAAATGAAAAGAAAAATTAAGACAAAAAACTTGTTTTGAATTATTTGCAATGTCTATCCCATATGTAGATAATTGGGTGTTCATTATATCTAATTTCCATGATCATCAAAGAAAAAGAGTCAAGCAAAACGGAAAGTAAGACTTTTCTTGGCCAGGTGCGGTGGCTCACACCTGTGATCCCAGCACTTTTGGAGGCTGAGGTGGGCAGATCTCTGGAGGTCAGGAGTGAGACCAGCCTAGCCAACATGGTGAAACCCCGTCTCTGATAAAAGTACAAAAAATTAGCTGGGTGTGGTGGTGCACACCTTTAGTCCCAGCTATTTGGGAGGCTGAGGCAGGAGAATTGCTTGAACCTGGGAGATGGAGGTTGCAGTGAGCTGAGATGGCTGCCACTGCACTCCAGCCTGGGCAACAGAGCAAGACTGTGTCTCAAAAAAAAAAAAAAAAAGAAAAGAAAAGAAAAGAAAAAAAGATTTTTCTTTAATCAGCATTATAAACTGATGATGTAAATTTTGGGTTTTTGAGCACAGAATTTAATAATAACTAATTTTAACTAAGTACTTCTCATAAGCCATGCACAGTATCAATTAAGGGTATGAGCTCAGGAACTAGACCAGAGAGTGAAGGGATTTTTAAGACTATGTCCTTAGCCTCTGAGGATGGTAGAGGGGAGAGCAACTATTATGACCAATGTAGATATAATTTTGGAAGCACCATTGGCTTAACGTAGGGTGACATGTTTGTGAAATTGTTCTTTAAGTTACTATTTAATCATCACTTGGGGAACAAAGACCAGGGATCTATCCTTCTGTAATAGATAAAATACATAATACTAACCTTGGGAACTGATATTACAGATGTGCTACTCCAGAATAACACATCTTGATACTCCAGCTCTCTTTTGATAAAGAAAAAAAAATCACATCTTGAAATAACTAAGAATCTCATAATCTCAGTTTAAAAAACTGAAACCAAAAATCGATACTTGAAAAATCAGTATTATTAATACTTTATATATATATATATATATATTTTTTTTTTTTTTTTTTTTTTTTTGAGATGGAGTCTTGCTCTGTCGCCGAGACTGGAGTGCAGTGGCCGGATCTCGGCTCACTGCAAGCTCCGCCTCCCGGGTTTACGCCATCAGCCTCCCGAGTAGCTGGGACTACAGGCACCCGCCACCTCGCCCGGCTATTTTTTTGTATTTTTTTAGTAGAGACGGGGTTTCACCGGGTTAGCCAGCATGGTCTCGATCTCCTGACCTCGTGATCCGCCCGTCTCGGCCTCCCAAAGTGCTGGGATTACAGGCTTGAGCCACCGCCCCCGGCCTATATTTGTTTTTTTTTTTAAATAATTTATTTCCTCCTTTGAAATGTTTTTATTATTGATAAATATTCACAAGATGGAGAAATAGGTTTTTAAAGAAATGTTTCAATATAACAAAGTATTTACAAAAAATTTTAAAATAGCTTTATTGATTTTCAAATACTTCTTCCTTGGCTGAGGCAGGAAGATCACTTGAGCCCAGGAGTTTGAGTCTGCAGTGAGCTATGGTCGCACCACTACACTCCAGCCTGGGTGACACCCTGTCTCTAAAAGAAGAAAAAGACAAATACTTCTTCCTTACCATGAAATTCTCACCTGGAGGATATTACGATTAGTGATATCTTCACAGTCAACAGATCCATTGCAAGCACCTTTCCACCCTGGTGCAAAAGGATTAACTGAAGAGAAAAAAACCAATAGATTCACAAACGGATTCTGAAAAGTTCCGAACATTTCAATAAAGGTCCAAGTGCTGAATTCCTTGTGCATGCAGGCATGTGTTTAGTCCAGCTATCTAATCCTAGTAATAAAACAAGGTGTACAATTTGAATAATTTATACTTGATGGTTTCACTCCATCTGGGGGCTAATGTAAGTAACTACAAGGCTTTAAAATGAATAGAAATAAATGTGGTTTGGTTATTCACTTTTACTAAGTTTTCAAAAATGCAATTTAAAATTCTATAAGAAGTTATAAGTGAAATATTAGCTGCCTAAAGGCTGTATTAATAAAATATTGATTTTAAAGAAGCAACAATATGTCATTTGAAAGTAATTACTTGGTGTGTTAAGTTTTAAAACCATCAACAAGCTAAGGTCAACTACATACTTTAGTGCTTAACAAACATTTAAGACCTATTACTTTAAAAATATCTTATATTAATACGGTAATTAATTTTGCAATCTATTGTGGTTCAGGACTAAATTCAAAATTAAATAAATTTTTAAAATTTTACCTTGAAATGCTATAAATAGCTCATGTATGAGGCCATGTTCTGGAATTTCAACAGAATGGCATTTATATGATGGCTCTATGACATGGCATGACAAATCAGACATTAGATTATCCAAGATTTTCTTCAGCACTCTAAAGAACACATCATTGTATCTCCCTATGCAAGACTTTGTGGTAAAACGTACAGCCATCTGATATGAATAATCAGGTTCCCGATAGGCTTTAAAAACAGAAGGATGAGAGTAAAAGCAATGGTGCCTAGCATTAATTTCCTCTACCAAACAATTTTCAAACACTATGTAATACTCAATCCCACCAATCTTGCAATCAGCATAGAAACTTATCTAATAACATGTTTTATCAGTTAGTCCTCACAAAAATACACAAAACTGTTAACTTTAATGAGAAATGTTGTTTTCATCTGATATATTATCTACTTGGTACATCAAGAGAAATGGCTTCTGTGGGTTGGCTATATAGATAACAGTATCAAGAAAAAGAAAGACTTTTTGGGGAGGGCCTTAATTCACAGAAATTATTATTGCTGTCAGCACAGCCCAGTGAAAGGATCATTAACTTGCTTTTATAGAATTAAAGATCAGTTTTAAAATTACCTGCTAAATTGTGATAAAGTAGATGTGCTTGCATATCTAGACAGAGGCAAGTAGGGAGTTGAAAGAAGATTATTTAGGATAAACTATCTTGATGTCAACTTAAGAGTTTGCTTAGTCAAATACATCCCGAAATATTTTGTAAGTCGTAATTGGTGATAGTCACCTATTACAGACTCTTTTTCATTAAACGGAGAAACCATACACTTAATTATGATCTGAACTAAATGTACAAGTTAAAAGGTGCCTAAATTCTTACCAAAGACCATAAAGTCATATCTCTTTTTGACTGTCTTTTCTTCTTGGGTTTCTGCTTTAACAGTCTTATAAGAAAGAGTACATGTGTAAAGTCCAGACAAAGGCTCCAAAAAATCTTTCACCATCAGCTGTCCAGTTTTAGTTATATTTATTCTATTATTTCCTAAACAGAATAGTAAATTACTTATTTAACATATAACATATCAAGCATTATTTAGTACACTTGGAGTTATAAATAGATACAAAATTTTTAAAAATTAATGAACTATCTCAACTTTAAGAATCCCACAAAATCTTAATTCTGTCATATTACTCTATGGAAGACTACATAAGTACACTTTTGAAATATATTTTGGTTTTCTTTGTTTCTTGGCATCTAGTTTCAATTGGCTCATACCAGTAATTCAGAAAAAGAGATTACATTGCTCTGTAGTACTATACAATTTCTTCAGACAAGTTGGAAACTAATTAATAATATTTATGTTCCAAGGCACTCTTAACATCATGAAAAATTATATATTAGATATTTCATCTCCTATTACTGGTGCTACAATGATAAATTTTAGGTTTTATAAAGATCTTTGAATTAATACAGCTCTGAGAAGTAGGGCACAAAAATTACCGCTTCAGTTTTTGCATAAGGAGAAAATAAGGAAGTGGCCAAAATATAACATGATTTTTCTAAGTAGGGAGCAAGAGAAACTGCCATTAAAATTAAATTTCAATTTGTTCTTTCCAATAAGCAATAGTGATTTTCTAAAAATATGTTCACATCATTAAAAAAGTACATATTAAAATCAAATTTACCTGTTAACGTCTTTTCATTAGGCCCAATCCATAAGTAGGTGGGGTCCACTATTTCTTTTTTAGAAAGCTTAAAATCCATACAGATAAGGACTGGGCTATTTTGATGTAACTTTACATATATTTTGCCTGTGATGAAATAAAATAATGTATAACTACATTATATAGCAAAATTAAATTAAGAAATATACTCCTACCATTTTGTCCTGAAGACATGAATTAGTTCTTGCTGGATTTCACTATTTTAAAAATCAATATATAACATTTAGAACACTAGTCTGAAGTCCTTTTTGCTTCTCATAGTAAGCTTTTTAAAACTCTACACTATTAGTCATGAGTCATGACATTTTTCCATATTACAGTTTTGTTTATAAAAATATGCATTATACATTTAAAGTTCATTTTAATGTACAGATTTAGAACTCACTCAAATCATAATTTTTTGGAGGGTTGGTGGAAGCAATTCAAAGTTCAGAAAAGGCCTGGGCACGGTGGCTCATGGCTGTAATCCCAGCATTTTGGAAGGCCAAGGCAGCGGATTGCTTGAGTCCAGGAGTTTGAGACCAGCCTGAGGAAAATGGCAAAACCCCGTATCTACTAAAAATACAAAATTTAGCTTGGTGTGGTGATGCAGGCCTATAATCCCAGCTACCCGGGAGGCTGATGGAGGACACTCGCTTGAACCCGGGAGGCAGAGGCTGCAGTGAGCCGAGACTGCACCACTGCACTCCCGCCTGGGCAACAGAGCAAGACTCCCTCTCAAAAAAAGTTCAGAAAAACACTTCAGCAACACTATTTTAAAGATGATTAGCCGGGAGTGGTGGCTCACGCCTGTAATCCCAGCACTTTGGGAGGATCACCTAGGTCAGGAGTTCAAGACCAGCTTGGCCAACATGGTGAAACCCCGTCTCTACTAAAAATACACAAAAATTTGCTGGGCATGGTGGTGGGCGCCTGTAATCCCAGCTACTTGGGAGGCTGAGGCAGAAGAATTGCTTGAATCCAGGAGGCGGAGGTTGCAGTGAGCCGAGATCACACCACTGCACTCCAGCCTGGGTGATGGAGAGAGACCCTGTCTTAAAAAAAAAAAAAAAAAAATATATATATATATATATATATATATATGTACACACATACACACATATACACACATATATATATGCTGGGTGCTGTGGCTCATGCCTGTAATCCCAGCATTTCGGGAGGCTGAGGCGTGCGGATCACCTGAGGTCAGAAGTTCAATACCAGCCTGACCAACATGGTGAAACCCCATCTCTAACTGCAGATTTTCTCCATTAGGAACAATAATTAAGCCTATCTGGGGCATATAGGAAGATGTGCGATTACTCCTTGTTTCTGGTTGGGTGGACAGAACGATGGTATGCTTGGAATCACTGCAACCCGGAAAGATATTAATTTTAAAGCCTACTGAATGCCAGCCAGGCTCTGAGCACATAAAGACAAAGTCCTACAATTTGGTTGGGGGTCAGGGAGAGAACCCAAACATACAAGGAGTCTAAACATGACACGTGCTATCAACTGGCTCAATTTATCTAAAATTAGCTATGTAACTAATTTTCCTCGGGAAAGTTTCACTGCAGAGATAAAGGACATTTGAGCTGAGCCCTGAAGGATGCGTGTGAGTTTTCCAGTTAATAAAGAGAGGATTAAAGATATTCCAAACAGAAGGCCTTGGAAATCACTCCTCTGCGTGGCTTTCCCGCGTTGCAAAGCAGCAGAGACACCTGGAAGTGAGATGGCATCAGAGAAAGAGATCTGGAATAAATCCCGGCCCCTTGTGAGCTGCAAGGCTTTAGAGCAAGGCGACACAATAGGGGTCGCTGTAAGGATGAAAAGATGCGACCGTCGTGAACTGCCAAGCAGATGCTTGGTATAATAGATGCTCAATAAAGGCTGGCTCGTTCCCCTTCCCTCCAGGTAAGGGAAGCTCTTCCGGGAAGAGCTTCGCAGTTCCAGCCCCTCCAATGGGCCCGCGTGTGTAGAGGTCCTTATTACCTGGCTGTCCTGTCTTGCCATAAACGAAGCCCTTCGTATTGAATAACGTAGAACGCGGGCATCGGACTGCGGAGGAAAGAAACCACTGACTTTTACTTAGAAGAGGAGCGGGGTTCAGAGTCGGGCAGGGCAGGGCAGGGCGAAGGAGGCAGGACCGGGAAGCTCGGGCAGAGGGAGAGGACTGGGCACCGGGCGGAGGGAGCCCCACCTCCTGTGAGGCACCAGAGCACCGCGGAGAGTAGGACCCACGTTCGCATCACAGTTCAGGGGCTGGCCTTGCAGGAGGCGTCGAGGGACAGACCCCTTCCTACCTCAGCCCCGGCCCAACACCTCCGCACCGCCCCACCTCCTACACAGTGCGGAGCAGAACGCCGGGGTCGCCTCCCCTACCCGTCCGTCGCCACCGCGGGAGCGGACGCGCAGGAGAGCGCGTGCGTGCTTCGATTCTCGCGCGCTGGGGCTGGGCGACGGCGAGGGAGGCGAGGCGAACGCCAGTTCCCCTCGCGCCCACAGGGCAGCAGGCCTGCGAATCTTCGCGCCTCGCTTCCGGCGCCATTTTCTCGCGCTCCTGGCCCCTTGTTCTCTGAGTGGAGCGGAAGGGAGGAAGAGAGTAAAGGAAAAGAAGCCACAGCGTCGCGTTCCGGGGATTCCCCAGACTAGGGGCTGAAGGGATCAAGGAGAGAACACCGCGAGTCACAAGGACCGTGGTGGGGTAGGGCGGCTAGGGGATGCGATGAGGAATCCCCTAGGAAGGGGACCTGAGGAAGGCAGAGACTTGTGACAATTTCCCCCTCACGTGAAGCAGAGAGGCCCGTGTGGGGATTTCCTGCGCCTCTCTTCTCATGAACACTGAAACTGTGTGTCCAATCTCTTTCAAACTGACACGCGATTTTTACCTAATTGCATTCTTTACCCGCAAGACCAAGACCCAGAAGAGCCACTACTGAGCCAAGAAGGCGCCTCTGGGCCTTCCCACTCGAGAGGAACGTTGAATCTTCATTTTCACTTCAAGTATGAGGCGATGTGAGAGACCTCCCCCAGTGCAAAGGTATCTAGGTTGATGAAGTGACCTTGCTTTAAAAATGGGCCCAGTTGTAAGGCAAGAGCCAGATTGGCTTTTTCTGTAGGGATGAATGATTAGTCAAGATCAGGGAGCTCCAAAGGGGATCATGCCCTCGTCTTTGATGGTTCCTTCTTGGCTACTAGTTTGGTGACCCGAAAGGCCCTGTGCGTTGTCTGTTTCTTAGCAGCGGGACACCACCCTCAGTAGTGGTTTTGAGTAGGCTGGTTAGTAGAGAGAGCCCAAGGTTCAGACAGGGTGCAGAATGGTTATTTTGGGTGAGATCAAGAGTTTTCGGTTTTATTTCCTTTGAGCCGAGTCAGTACTTGGACTATCTCATATGGTCCAGGAGCAACCTTTGTCAGTAATTTCATTTTTAGTCACTGTTAATTTTACCTATATAGCATAAGCCATGAAATGTGACTCAGTGAGTCAGATCCACCCATTGTCAGTTACCATGTCTGGATTCATGGTCTGGTCTCAACTGCTCTCTTCTTAAGGTAATGATAATGAAGACAGATTTAGGCATTATCTTGATTCCCTACAAGTTCGTCATTCCAGTTTTTGTCAAAGTACATTATAAATCCACAGTGTGTTTTATTGGCTTCTCGGTTTTTGGTAAGTAATTGATCCTTGTAAATCCTGTGTGATAAACTAAATCCTATGAGAGGAGACTTAACCAAATGAGTAATAGTTGTCTGTCAGAAGTACCCATCCACTCTTTTTATATAAACTTTTTATTTTAGAAGAGTTTTATATTTACAGAAAAATTGCAAAAACAGTACAGGGAGTTTTTACATACTCCCTCCCGATTTTCCCTATTACTGACATCTTACATTGGTATGGTACATTTCTTACAATTAATGAACCAATATTGATACATTACTATTAACTGAAGTCCAAACTTTATTCAGATTTCCTTACTTTTTTATTCAATGACCTCTCCACCCCGTTTCTTTTTGTTTGTTTGTTTGTTTGTTTTTGCTCCAGGATCTCATGCGGGATCCCACATTACCTATAGTCATTGTATCTCCTTAGATTCCCCTTGGCTGGGTCAGACTTCTCTTGTTTTTGAAGGTCTTGACCTGGCTTTAACTGGTGAGGTATTTTGTAGAATGCCTCTCTACTGGAATTTTGTCTTTCTGCATATTAGACTGGAACTATGGGTTCTTAGGATGAAGATTACAGAGATAAAATGACATTCTCATCACATCATATCAAGGAGACATACTATCAACATGCCTTATCACTTGATGTTAACCTTGGTCTGCTGGCTGAGGTACTGTTTGTTAGGTTTCTCCACTGTCAGTTTATTCCCCCGCTTTCATACTATACTCTTCGGAATGAAGTCACTTTGTGCACCCACACTTAAACAGTGGGGATTTATGCTACATCTCCTTGAAGATGGAGTAGCTACATAAATTATTTTACCAATCCACTTTCAATCCACTTAGGTATCACTCTCAGGAGTCTGAAATACTCAGTATTGAACTATTTACAGAGTACTAACACATTCTACTGTCAAATATACAGAGAACATCGTAATGGAAAATCATAAAGTTTCCTTACAACTTTTTTTTTTTTTTTTGAGATGAAGTCTCACTCTGTTGCCCAGGCTGGGGTGCAGTGTTATGATCTTGGCTCCCTTCAACCTTCGCTTGCAGGGTTCAAGCGATTCTCCTGCCTCAGCCTCCTGAGTAGCTGGGATTACAGGCGTGCGCCACCACAGCCAGCTAATTTTTGTGTTTTTAGTAGAGACAGTATTTCGCTATGTTGGCCAGGCTGGTCTCGAACTCCTGACCTCGTGATCCACCTGCCTTGGCCTCCCAAAGTGCTGGGATTATAGGTGTGAGCCACTGCGCCTGGCCCACAGCTTTTTAATAACCAAATAAGTTTTCATCCTCATACCATCCTTGTGAAATTTTACAGTTCCTCTTCTGCTACTTTTGATGTGCTATTTTTGCTTCTAGAAACTAACAAACAACAAATTTCCCCTTTCAGTACTAAAATTAGACCTAGTGTTTAGAGTATTTCTCCAAAATTGATATCCTGCAGAACTCCCAACTCATGCAGTTATAGAGATGCTACTGTGGTGCTTAAAGCCAGTGTAGTTTTTCACCCACTTAAATATATTTATATATACAGACATCACATAGACTGCCTATACCAACGACGTACTCTTGTTAAAACTACAATTCATAAAATTACAGCATTTATACTTTAACTTGTAAGTGTGGGTTTCTTCTGATATGGTCAGCTGATGCACAAACCCTCAACCTTAAGTTTCAAATATATTTGTATACACTCATATAATTTTCTAATAGCGGAGACGGTGGCCTTTTGAGACTCATTCGTATATTGTCCAACACTCTGGGCATCTTTAGAAGGGCTCACCTGAACAATGTCACTTAAACCTCAATGTGAAGAAAAGTTCTGCTTTGAAAAACAGTTTTGTGGTCACTTCCCCTTTCCTCTCTCTGCAGTCCAATGTGTGCTTTACCTCTGGACAGTAGGGAGGATGTTGGGAGAAGATGTTGACTGATACATATCTGTATACTAACATCTTTAAGTTAATTTTACTATCTTACTGCCCCCACCTTCAACCCTTAGCTCTACTTTCTTTGATTAATTTTCTGGTACATCCTGTACGTATTTTTGTAAGGTGTCTATTTGGAAGAAGGCAGGCTGGGAGAAAATCAACACACTCTATAAAACACTCACTCTATTTATATAGAGTGGGTAGTATTGTGTGAGTGGTGGCAAATAAACCAAGCAGTTCCCAGAGGGAAAATAAAAGTGAGATAATTGCTTCCAAAAATTAAAAAGTTGAATTGATAAAAGTGCCAAAATCCAACTGTCTTTCTGAAAACTTGGATAAAAAACTTTTACCATGTGAAATGAAAAAGTGAGGAAGGAAAAAAAAAATACTTTGAAAGAAGGGAGTTCTCATTGATACTTTCCACGGCTGTTATCACAGAATCTAGACAAAAAGTTCCAGATCTCCCTCAATTTAAGATAAACGTCTTTGAACTTGAGCTTGCCAAGAAAGCGAGGCTGACCCCCCACCCTCCGTGTGATATTACTTTTCTCATCCATTATCCTTCTAAAATAGACATTTTGAGACAATTTAGTGATGCGCCATTTCCATCCTGTCGGGGTTCCTTGGGTTTGACATTCAAAAGGGGGCTGGAGGTGCGGAACCCGCCGCACTCCACGGCCAGCGTCCTTTAAAGCAGCCGCCAGCCAGCGCCGCTGTAACCCCGCGCACCGGCAGGTCGCCGGCTCCTGCCCCTTTCAGTCTGCGCCGACGCGGCGGCCGGATCCCGGGGACTCCCCGTGCCGGGAATCTCCCGCCAGCTGCGCGCTGAGTCCAGGCGACGGCAGGAGCACGTGGAGAGGCCGGGTAGCCACAGCGGCAGCTCCAGCCGGGCCGGGCAGCGACATGGAAGGTGAGCCTCCAGCGCGCTTCTTTTCTCCGGGGTCTTTGAGAAGCTTGGCCTGTGCAAGCAGCAGAAAGAGTTTCTTATGAATCTCGGTTTTGCTTCTATTTATTTCTTTTGTCAAAAGTAAATATGAGGTATTTCAGAGGACAAAGCGCGTCGGTTCTCGTACGTCTCTCACTTGTCCTTCCCCCGCCCTTTGGAAAGTGATAACTTCTTTGCAATTTTATTTCTAAAGGGTTGTCAGACATGGGGGGTCTACCCTACATCTGCAGAGGAAGAGCACTTAAGGGGTGTCCCTGAAACGGCTGCAAATCTGGGGGTGGAATAACCAACACTTTTGGATATTTTTTCCTTCGTGGCCTCAGTGTTCATTGGAATTACGCTAATCTGAGTAACTTGTTTTCTTACAAGGGTAAATGGTGTCATCTGGGAAAGGTACATTTTAAAGCGGTTGGCACTTGCAGTTCCCTTGGGATTCGATCTTCTAAGAGTCTTCTTTACCCAACGCAAAAATCAGGTTTACTTTAGGAGTTTCATGTTAATTAATTTTGAAAGTCGTAACGCTATCCTCGCTTCTCAAACATTTTTCATTCTATACTTCCTTGGGATACCTAAAATTTCACACTGCTACTGTAAACTCTTCAGTGGTCTTTTCAACAAGTGTTTCTAAAACCTTGAAAATGGCAAATGCATCTCAACTGGGGGGATGGTGGGATTATGAAATTCAGAATTTCATTCTATTAAAAATGAGATATTGACACCTAACTAAAATGTTACTTTGATAAATATGAAGATTGTGAATATTTTCTTCATAATAATGGGAGGATCTCTAATTAACAATGAACTGATCTTTGGCAGCTTTATTTCTAGAGTATATTAAGTTATTAAAATATCAAAAATTTATGCTTTTAATTTTTTAAATTAGGGATTGAAAACTTAAAAAATTTTGCA